GCTACAGGACAGTACTAGATAGATAGATAGATAGATAGATAGATAGATAGATAGATAGATAGACACTGGTGATATAAGGAAAGAAAAAGCAGGTATTGATGAACAACGGGACAACAGTGCTACAGTGCTAATTGTCTCTGGCTGATTACAAGTCGATTTGCTCGAGTGGGTCCAGTAACGTCTCCATTTGAGACTTTGTTGTTACTGTGTTTGGCATATCGAATACTCTCGGTAGCTTGCTGGGCTCTCCGAGAGGGGTGGAGGAATCGAACTCGGGTCGGCCATGTTGGCCGCTTGTAAGGCGAACGCCCTACCCGCTGTGCTATCGCTCCAGTGGCTTGGAACAGCACAGATTTTCTGAACCCCTGGGTTGAATGGGCCCATTTGGGGCAAAGCTTTTGGAGGAGAGGGGGCTGGCTGATGAGGCTATAATCAGCTGCAGACTACTCCAGGCCTAGAAGGTTCTAAATGACCCCTCACGCATCTGGGCTCTGATGCTAGCTTCTCTCTTCTGAAAACTGGTGTACTTGGAAATTTCATTCGATTGGTGTCTCTGAGGAAATTAGTTGAGAAGTAGTGGCCTTGGGCCTTTGGCTTAGCGGCAGCTGTAGGATGTCGGTGCAGCTGTAGGATGTCTCTTCACCTGGTCCCCGTCATTCTGGGCCCCCTCATGTTTTCTTTACCTGGTGGGGGGTAAACATCACCAAGAGAAGGCTGATCAATGAGTGTGCCTGTCATAAGGCAGTTCCATTTCAAGTCGCCATGAGCCAGAGGCCTCCTCTTGACAGGGTGAGCTGCCAAGGACCTGTGACCACTTCTGTCCCCCTCAGCTTTGCTGAGATATAATTGGCAATTACCGCAGTGTAAGTGTGAGGCATGCAACATGTTGATTTGATACACTCCCTGCTTGCCAAACAGCCGGGTCTACCTGTGGCCACTTTCCAGCTGCTGCACAGAGTGATGGCACAGTGAGTGAGGGTGTGCACTTGTGGGGCTTCTCTGATGAGGTCTTTGCTTGGGCAGAGAGCTGTATGAAGTGAGGGAGTGACCCATGACCCATGAATACTTGGAATGGTGATCAAGAGCATTGAGGGCAGGCAAATGCTCTTTTGGGGGGGGGGTCACACCCTACATTGCACAGTGGTTACTCCTGGCTCATGCACTCAGGAATTACTCCTGGTGGTGCTCAGAGGACCATATGGGATGCTGAGGATCAAACCCGGGTTGTCTGCGTGCAAGGCAAACACTCTACCCACTGTGCTATTGCTACAGCCCCGACAAATGCTCTTCCTTACATTCACAACAATCCCGCAAATGCTGAGTCTCTGGAAAAAGGGGACCCACACCCAGCTGTGCTCAAGGGGTCAAGAAGCACCAAGGATGGAACTCTGGGCCTCTCTCACACTGGACATGTGACCTGTCGGAAACTGCCCCACGGATTCTGCCCAGCTCCGTGTCAAGGCTTCTATAAAGATATTCTCTTCATATTTATGAAAAAAATCAAGTTCTCCTGGGCAGCAGGAGAGAATTCCTGAATGGACTGGGCTGAGTTCGAGGAGGAGGGGCGCCCGGTCTTGACATCATGCTGCAAAGGTGAATGATGTTGGCACCTAGGAGCAGAGAGTCCCTCTGTGCCACTCTTCTAGGACTCAGCATGGCTATACCCTATCCACAGCTCCTCCATTCCATCCCTCATGCAGGCCGTTGGGCCACTCTAGGAGTTCGGGAATGTTGGTGCATTGGGGGTGGGGGGAAGAGTCTGATTCAGTACAGCAGGGAGCTGGGGAGCTAGTACAGGGGGTAAGGAGCTTACCTGCATGTGACCAACCTGGTTCTATCCCCCAGACCACATAAGGTCCCTCCAAGGAGTGACTCCTAAGCACACAGCCAGAAATGATCCCTGAGCACTGCTGGGGGTCGTCCCCAAATCCAAAATGAAATGAAAAAAAAAAGTTTAAAAGATGGAGCATATTGTGGTAGGGGTGTTTGTTATAATTATCCGCGATCCCTAGGGGAGTTTGAATGTAATCAGGTCAAGGATGGGGGTGGGAGGTGTTTGGGGGTGCAATTATCCAGTGCATGGGCTGTCAGATGATTGTCAGGGCTCTCTGGTCACTGAGCCAGGTTCCTGCTCTACCCATGTGCTATTACGTGTGAGGAGCCCGGCATATCACACAGCCTGTTATTCTCTCTGGAGCCACAAACCCTGCCAGATCAGTCAGTAATTAAATGGCCTCTGCCTGGCCCCTGCTCTGGCATCACATAGCCCCCCAGGACAGTTGTCGGGGGCAAGGTGCCTTTAAAAGAATGAGAAGGGCCAGGAAGAGAGATGGAAGAGCTCCTATGCAGGTGTTGCAGTCTAGAGGCCTGGGTTTGATCCTCAATACCACATGGTCCCTGAGCACTGAGTTGGAAGTAGACCCTGAGTACCACCAGGTATGCCCTCCAAACTAACCGGATAAAGAAATGAAAATAGGGGCTGGAGCAATGGCACAGCGAGAAGGGCGTTTGCCTTGCACGCAACCGACCCAGGTTCGATTCCCAGCATCCCATGTGGTCCCCCGAGCACTGCCAGGAGTGATTCCTGAGTGCATGAGCCAGGAATAACCTGTGTGCATTGCCGGGTGTGACCCCAAAAGAAAAAAAAAGAAAAAGAAAGAAATGAAAATAGGGCCTTAAAGCAGTAGTACAGCAGGGAGGTTATTTGTCTTGCAAGCAGTGGACTTGAGTTCAATCTCTGGCACCCCATATGGTCCTCTGAGCATTCCAGGAGTGACTCCTGAGCACAGAGCCAGGAGTAAGCCCTGAGCATCACTGGGTGTGGACCCCAAACCAACAATAAAAAGAAATAAAATAAAAGACTGAGAAAATGGGTTGGGGTCATTCTGGGGGCTCAAGAGAACCCAGTTACCGTACCTTTCCTACTTCTTGCCCAGGCCTGAGCTGATGTGCCAGTTATAGCAACCTAGAAGCATCCATTTTTTTAGAAGAAAAACCCCAAACCCTCAACCTCCCACCAAAGCAGCCACATTTCTCTATCTAGCTAACTCCTTGGACACTGAACATCTTCAAGTCAGCTTTAAAAGATCCTCTTGAGGTGAGGATCCCCTGAGGTGTCAGGGAGAGAACTGTGGGTTGCTGGGACATGTGCCTGGCATGTGGGAGCCCTGAGTTGATCCCTGTCACCACATGGCCCTGGGTGGTTCTACAGCCAGCACTAAACTGTCTGACCCACATAGCTGGGCTGAGTATCACAGGCCTGGCCCCCAGGCCCGCTGAATACTGCTAAGAAGGATCCCTGCTTAGCCAAAGAGAAAGAGAGAGAGGGAAAGAATGTTTTTATGGAAAGCGAATCTCTCCCCTGCCATCTCTGGCAGCAAGGGAAGGGAGGGGATCCCAGCTGTGATGGAAAAACATCCCCAGAAGTCTCTGTCTGCAGCACCAGGCCAGAGGGCAGTACTGAGGTTAAGTCTCTCTTTTAGCTTGTGGCTTAGAAGACTAATGGTTCATAAACCTACCACCCCACCGGGAGCTCTGAGCATCTCCAGATGTGGCTTCTGAGCACAGAGCTAGGTGTGGCCCCTGAGCACCACTGGGCATAACCCCCAAAAGAAAAAAACTCAAGCACCCCATTCTTTTTACGGGCACCCCTGCCTTTGGGCCCTCTTCAGCTTTCAAAGTCCTTTCTAACAATAATCAAACTTGCTCTTGGTGTCTCTGACTACCCTGTTATCACCGTAAGGAGCAGAAACACAGAAGACCACCCTCAACAGAGAGAAAGCCATAAAACTGAGTCCCTCGTTGCCTAAGCAACGTATAGCCAATCCCCTTAAACACATACTCTATCCCTGGGCAGGCTTCCTGAAGGCAGGTGCCTGGATGCGGAGCTGGGGATGAGTCTTTATGTTGTTTTCTCAGTTGAATTTTTTTGGCTATGCTTTTGTCTCCCCAGAGGTGCTGGGGGCCACCAGGGTACACCCAGCAGTGTTTGGGAGGCTAAGTTTGGTACTGAGGGTCAAAGCCCAGGGTCCTGTCTCTATGTGCTCGCCAGCCCTTTGAGCTCTCACCCCTGCCCCAGTGTATAGATCTGTTACTTTGAAAAACTCTGCCTGAAGGTTGTACACATTTAAATTCCCACCCTTGGGTCATCCAAATCTTGCTTCCCCCCACGCTCACCACCTTCCCTTGCTGCCACTTTCAAGCACTTTCCGCATCCTCTCAATGCTATCTGTGATGAATGTTTATAATTTTTTTTAAAGGAAATTGCACGAAAGGGTCCTCCTGTTGTTCATCGATTTGCTTGAGCGGGCTCAGTAACGTCTCCATTTTTTGAGACTTGTTGTTACTGTGTTTGGCATATTGAATACATCACGGGGAGCTTTCCAGGCTTTGCTGTGCGGGCGAGATACTCTCGATAGCTTGCCGGGCTCTCTGAGAGGGGCGGAGGAGTCGAACTCGGGTCGGCCATGTTGGCTGCGTGCAAGACAAACGCCCTACCGCTGTGCTATCGCTCTAGTCCCCACACAAAATGGTAAAAGAAAATAAAGACCCGCAGCAGCCTTGCTCCCATGGCTGGGAGGCTTCGTTCATTTTCCTAGAAAAGGTGGCGGAGGCCAGAGATCAGCAGGGGCATCCTGTGAGAGAAGAATCCCCCAGTAACAGGAGCGGGGGGGGGGGTGGGGGGTAGGTGTTCCAAGGGGTCAACTCCCCAGTTCCAGATATCTCCAACTTTCGAGATAGTTTTTCAAGAAGAGCCTGTGGCGACTATTCTGAGGGATCGGTTCCAGGCAGCCACCGTCGAGTGTCCCCTCAATACAGGTCTGCTGCTGGGAAGGCACCCCGGGATTTGTGGAGTGGGATATGCACATTTCAAACCGACTTTCCAGGCACTGAGAGCTGGATCCAACAGACCGGAAGAGCTGTCTCTGGGGCCAACTCTGGGATTCGTCTTGCTGCGTGCAGGGGGCGGCCCTGACTGACAGCCCTGCTTTCTGTTCCAGAGATCTGAATTACAACGAGCTGCAGGAGTTCCCTGTCGCCATCCGGACCCTGGGCAGACTGCAGGAGCTGTAAGCACCCTCCTCTCCCCGGCCTCCCTCACACCTACAAACTCCAGGCCCTCCCAGTTCCCCGCCCATCTGAGCTACCAGAGGCCTCATGAACTTGCTTTAGCACATTTCTGAGGAAGGGGTTGTGTCACCAGCAAACATGAGCCTTGAGGAGCCTTCGCAGGCCGCGGGCTCGTGACCAGGAGTGAGGAGACGAACTGGATGGCAGAGTCATTCCTCAGCCCTCCTCCCCAGGGAGAGGGAATGCAGACTCTGTTTGCCCACATCCTTTCCCAGCATCCGTCAGTGCCAGCACCATGCTCACAGCTAGTCCCAAATGAAGGCAGGCACGTGACATCCCCAGGGGAGTCTTCAGGCCCATCAAAGGCACACAGGGCACAGGAAAAGCAGGGTGAGGCGGGTTCATAGTGCCAACCTCACATCGCATGGGATCAGCACGAATAACAAGGGGTCCTCAGAGCTGCATCGGCCTGAGGCCTGGCGGGGTCTGGGTGGTACTGATGGCGGAGGCGAGGAGGCATTTCAGACAGGTGAGTGTAGGGAAGACTCAGCAGGAAGTGAAATGGATGATGATGGCCACGGGAGAGGCTGACTTCCTGGAGGAGGAGCTCTCAGGAAGCCTGAGAGGTAGGGGACTAGAGTAAGGGCCCTGGAAGTTTACGAATGGAACCCCCAAACTTTCAGCAACTCAGCATTTCTGCCGGAGACCTTGTGGTACCTGCCCCTGCCAGCCCCCACACCCGGCAGAAGTTTGAAGGAGTGAGGCCTGGTGGATGTGGCTGCTCGGGGGCAGTGGGGCAGCTGGAGGGAAGTGGCCGGAGGAGACCGTTGAAATTCTGCCATCATCAACAAGCCCCACTGTCAGACTTTTCCTTCCCGCTGGGAGAGGGCAGAGATGAGCTTTGAGCAACCAGCAGGGTATAGAGGGAAGCAAGTAAGCAAAGGCACAGGGACAGAAATCATCAGGGAGAAGGGATAGAGAGCTCCAGGGTCAGCAGCCAGCAGATCCATGTCCTCTCTCTCTCTCTCTCTCTCTCACATACGCGCGTGTGTGTACGTGTGTGTGTATGTGTGTGAGAGAGAGAGAGAGAGAGAGAGAGAGAGCTCATGTCTGTCTTCATCTATGAGTCACAGAAAACTGCTTAATATCAAGACTTCTGTCTCAGAATGTCTTAATCCCTCAGAGTTTAGCCCAGTACCAGATACAAAAGAGATATTGACAATCACATCAAGAGGAAATTAACCTAGGAATGAATGAATGAGCAAACAGGCTGGGGGTCTCCTGTGGGTGTCTGCAAGTAGGTAAGGAGGGTGCCTGAGGTGTAAGAAGGGTGGAAGAAGGTGACTGAGGTGAGTCTGAGGTGTAAGGAGGGTGTCTGAGGTGAGTCCGAGGTGTAAGGAGGGTGTCTGAGGTGAATGTGAACAAGCAATGAGGGTGTCTGAGCATATAAGGAGGGTGTCTGAGGCTGTTAGCATGTAAGAAAGATGATAAGAGAAACAAGGCAACTCAGATAAGGGTGACACAGAGAGAAGCCACTGTTGAGAAAGAGAGGCTGAGACTCCCTCCTTCTCGCCAACACAGCTTTTCTGTTCAGCCCCAATTTTATTTTGAAATACTCTCCCCAGTGAGTGGAACACATGACTCCCAGCTTCCAGACCTGAGAGGTTTAGCTGCACCCACTTCCTCCTTTCCCCCAACACCATTATCATTTCTGCTCAGGCTCCTTCCAGGCCCCAACGTTGTTGAGGGAACATGTCTCCCCCCACAAGCCCTTGACTCCTGTGGGGTTTCTGTCACCAAGGACTAAGGAGACCATTCTCCCTTTGGGAGTGGAGTTCCAGCTCTTACTCCTGAGATATTCTCACAACTTTTCCCTCTGCACTTGGAAGGGAAGAGAATGAGTGTGCGACTGGATGAGGAAGAAAAGCCACAGGTTGAACTTGAACCCAGGGCATCCCCTGGTCCTCTGCCCCATTGGTTTCCCTTCCATTCTGTTGGCTGTGGGTCTCTTTGTGGGAGGAAATTCTGTCTCTCCCCCCTCCATCGTCTCTGCCAGCCCCACTGATTCCTTCTACTGTCTTCCAGGGGCTTCCATAACAACAATATCAAGGTCATCCCAGAAAAGGCCTTCATGGGGAACCCTCTTCTGCAGACCCTGTGAGTATCACTCCCACCTCACACCTTGGTGCTCTGGGAGGCAGGAGCGGGGTGCCCTCCCGGTGCTCTTTACTGATCTTCGTGCACCACGAGAAAGCAGAGCCTCCCAGGGCCAGGATGAGCTAAGTGTTCGGGCCTCTTTCTTCCAGACACTTCTATGATAACCCAATCCAGTTCGTGGGAAGGTCAGCATTCCAGTACCTGCCCAAGCTGCACACTCTGTAAGTCGAAACTGCAGGTGACCACAGTCTGTTCCTTCTCCTTTCCCTGCTCACTGCTCCCTACCGGCCCCGAGCCCAGCTCTCACCTGTAAGGCACCTTCCCACTGGAAGCCTGGTTGCCAGAGATACAAGGGGCCAAGCCCCGGATCCATATCTTACCAATGCCTTCCTTTAAGCCTCCAGTCCTGCCTTCCACATCTTGCAAAGCCAAGGCTCGACCTGGCCTCTTTTTTTTTTTTTTTTTTTTTTTTTTTTTTGCTTTTTGGGTCACGCCCGGCGATGCTCAGGGGTCACTCCTGGCTCTGCACTCAGGAATTACTCCTGGCAGTGCTCAGGGGACCATATGGGACGCTGGGATTCGAACCTGGGTTGCCTGCGTACAAGGCAAACGCCCTATCCGCTGTGCTATCGCTCCAGCCCTGACCTGGCCTCTTAGAAGTAGTTTCTCCACAAACACCTGCTGAAGAGGGAAGGAGCAAGCAAAGAATTGCTCTCCACTGGCCTTGGAGAATGCACACTGGCTGCTGTGGCACTATCTTTATCACCTTGGGTGGAAACACACCTTGGTCGCTTTTCTCCCTCTGCGCATTCCCAGTCCAAGTCTAGCTTTTTCAAAATCGCTTCTGGCCATTACTCTCAACTTCACAAGGACATGACTCACTTCTTTAATGCACAAACTTCACTTTCATGTCCATTAATACACTTTAGCTCCACCTGAATGGAAGGGGTGTTTCCTTTCTTTCTTTTCTTTCTTTTTTTTTGTTTTTTTGCTTTTTTTGAGTCACACCCAGTCAACTCAGGGGTTACTCCTGACTCTGCACTCAGGATTCACTCCTGGAAGTGCTCATGGGACCCTATGGGATGCTGGGAATCGAACCCGGTCGGCCGCGTGCAAGGCAAACGCCCTACCCACTGTGCTATCGCTCCAGCCCCAAGGGGGTGGTTTCTTAATCAACTTTATAGCTATATCCTGAGGCCCCCTGCCAAGCCACAAATTCCAGACCCTATGCTCATTCTGGACTGGTGCTGATGTCATTTTGTTGTTGCTTGGGGTCCACACTCAGCAATGCTCGGGGCTTCTTCCTGGCTCTGCATTCAGGGATCACCCTGGTGATGCTTGGGAGATCGTACGGGATGCCAAGGATTAAACCCAGGTCAGCTGCATGCAAAGCAAGCACCCTCCTCACAGTACCAGCCAGCAACACTGACATCATTTTTTATAGTGTCCATGTGGGCCCATGCTCCCATCCAGATGGAGAGGTGGGAGGATCAATGCCGCAGTCTAAAGCAGTTTCAGAGAAGCAGTGGAAGGTTCTCACAAAGCCACAGCAGATGAGAATGTCGGCAAGATCCAGCCCAGGACCTAACAGGAAAACCTTAGTAATCCTGGACTTTTCCAGAAGCAGCTAGCCTGAGACCTTTTGGACAACTGCCCCCATCTGTGGGGACCGGAGCGATAGTACAGCGGTAGGGCGTTTGCCTTGTACGCAGCCAACATGGCCGACCCGAGTTCGATTCCTCCGCCCCTCTCGGAGAGCCCGGCAAGTTACCGAGAGTATTTCGCCCACACGGCAGAGCCTGGCAAGCCACCTGTGATGTATTCAATATGCCAAACACAGTAACAACGAAGTCTCCAATGAAGACGTTACTGGGCTCGCTCGAGCAAATCGAGCCCCCATCTGTGATCTATATTTTGTAAAACTGATTGTAATATATTAGTTGCTGGGGATGATCTAGAAGTGGGTAGAGCTAAGAATGACATTTCCCAAAAAGACTGAGTTCCTGGTGGGAACCCACAAGGGGACCACATGTCCAGCTCAGGGCCCAGCTGTCATCTCTGTCTCCAGATCTCTGAATGGGGCCACAGACCTCCAGGAGTTCCCAGATCTGAAAGGCACCACCAGCCTGGAGATTCTGTGAGTGTAAATGCCCACCCTCCCCTCGTCAAATACCCCACAACCCTGCCCTGACCTCACCCAAGACCTCTGCTATCTGCCTCCCCCTTTTTTGCTGCTTGTTTCTGCCTGGTTCCAGCCTGGCCCCGAGGTCACCTGGCTCAATCCTAGGACCGTGGTTATATTCTCATGTGACAGTGCCAGCAAGTAGTTTAGGGGATCAGGGACGCTGCTCTTCCCCTCTTTACTATGCTCGGGCGGTGGAGGGGGGGACCACATCGGAGTCCCTAACCCCAAGCCCAAGGTGGGAGGGGATGAAACCTCCTCTTCTGCCTCTCTGAAGCTTGGGTCCCAAGACTTTCTCCTGCTTCTTACTCCAGCCACTAGAGTGGGGAGGGGGTTGGAGCGGGCAGACCCTGAGCTGTGTGAGAGGATGAGCAGAACCATCAAGGGACCACCCAGCGTGAGTGGAGGGTGTCAGCTGTCCTGGCCACACGTCACAGCTCACTGAGGGTGTGTCCAGGCTGCAGGGCTCTGCTCTGCCTCGACTGTCGTCCCCAGATCAGTGACATGTGGAAACTGCCATCAGGGAAGGCCTCATTCCCCAAGGATGACGCTGGTCTTGGGTCTTTACTGGAACTCTCTGTCCTTAAGCCAGGCTGTGCTCCCCCTGCCCCTGACGCCCTGGTGCCTTCCTCCTCTGCCAGCTCTTCTCCCTCCCCCAGGGCCCAGGGAGCAAGTGCCTGTGAGGGTCCCAGAGCAGAGAAGATTCAAGACCCTTTCCTGCCAAGCTAGTATTGCTAGAGACCATGAGGACCTTGGGTGGAGCCAGGCTGGGCCAGGCCTGCCATCTGCCGAGCAGAGACACTGGGCCGCGTCCCTCTGTCTGTGCCCCAGCTGCCAGGAGGCCCGGGCAAGCTCCAGGCTGGGAATTCCAGCTTCTTTTCTGTCCCCACAGCCTCACCTGCTGCCTACATGTCCCCCCCAGGTTTCTTTTGTGAACTCTGTGCACTCACATCAATATCAGACTCTGCTGAAGATGGAGGGCGGGGAGAAAGGGTGGCGGCTAGGCCTGGTGCCAATCTGTCTCTGTTCCCTCCGTAGGACCCTGACCCGCGCAGGCATCCGGCTGCTCCCACCGGGGATGTGCCAACAGCTGCCCAGACTCCGAGTTCTGTGAGTGGCTGCAAGCATTGTACCCTTGCCCCTGTGGCCCAGCAAAGGCCTCTCCACCCTCTGTCCAGCTTGGTCCCAACTCTTTCTGGAGAGTGGGCCGACTGGAGCTGCAACGAGAATCTGCCCAGTTGATGTGGCCATTTCTGCCTGCCCAGGAGAACCCCCGGGAGTCAGGAGGCGGCCCTGAGGGCGGGGTTCTGCCCCTTACCTGTGGGATAAATTCTGAAATCTCTGCGCTTCATCTCCTTATTCGCAAAACATGGAGAAAAACCTGGGCAGCTTGAACAAACATGCAAAGCTCCGAGCTTGGGTGCTAACACTCCCAAGAGCGCGGCATGGTCTGACTGCCATGTTTACCCAGGAAAATCCCTTCTGGAAATGCTGACCTGGCCCAGGGAGGCAGTTTTCCTCTCTCCCCCAACTCCAGAGGCCTCGATCTGACAGGAGCCCCCAGTTCAGGAGGGGGAGCAGGGCACTGGGAAGAGCACCAGATTCTGAAGACCAGGGCTCTAGACTAGCCTGACCACGAGCTGACTGTGCCCAGTCTCCTTGCCTCAGTTTCCTCATCCATTGGGAGGCATTGGGTGAGATGACCCCTGAAGGGCCAGCTCAGATGATCTTTGTCGGGCTATCCACAGTAACTAGAGGTGCTGCTTCCTTGGGGGTTAAGCAGCTGTGCACAGCTTCATGTCTCTCTGGAGCACTTCCGGTTTCCCAGACACCCCCCCCTCACTTCCAGTTTCCCTGGGCATAGATGGATGACCAGGGCTGCAGGGCAGTGAGTCTGCGGACACAGGTTTTGGGGGCAGGTGTTGGCAGTCACGCGAGGCAGGGCCCACACAGCTGGGCAGCCGACTGGGCAGCACAAGAGACTGCTTCTAACCCCCACCTCATGCCCACGGCACGGCCTCTCCTCCCCAGGGACCTGTCTCACAATCAAATCGAGGAGCTGCCCAGCCTGCACCGCTGTCAGAAGCTGGAGGAGATGTGAGTCTGGCAGAGAGGAGTGGGGCCCATCTGGGGTGGGAAGCAGCCAGCCCACCTGACCCTTTTCTTTCTCAAACCTGGTAGCACCCCAAGTCAGGGCTGGGAGCTCTGCCACTACCCAGGGAAGGCACCTCGGACTCGAGAACACACCCAGAGGTGACCCCTAAAGCCACCTCACATGGTTCTGTGAGGGATCATAGGACCACACGGGGCTGGGGCAGGTGAGGGAGGGAAGGTTTCAGAGGACCTCAGGTTGTGTTTCCGAGCTCACTCTCATCCCATCCCCTCCCACATGTGATATGTGTGTACACACACACATGCACACTTAATATTTGCTTCCGAAACAAAAATAATCACTTTGAAAACTCTCTACAGACAAGAGTCGGGGAGCTTGCCTTGCATGTAGCCAAACCCAACTCCATCCCTGGCACTGCTGGTGGTCCCCTGAGCACTGCCAGAGACGACTCCTGAGCACAGAGCCAGGAGCAGCCCCGAGCACCTCCCGCGGGTGACCCAACCCCCCTGAGCCCCTCTAGATCTTCCCTGGTCTCTGTTTATCTAGCACTGGTTGCCTCTAATTCTGGGCGCCCTCAAGCTTTCTATATCTGACCATCCCTATAGGGTCCAGGGCAGTGAAGGGGTTGGAGGGTCTGTCCTGTCAATCTAGATGTCGGAGGAAGGAGGGTCCTCAACAGTGCCAAGGCCCAGGGACCAGCCCCATTCAGACCACCAGTGCTCAGCCCTGCTTCTCAGCGTGACCCCTCTCTTGGGCTGTCCAAGGGCTGGGCAGGGCTGTGCTGCTGGACTAGGGTCTGAAAGACCCACGGGTAGGATTGGCTGGGCTGGGAGCCAGGCTCAGTGGGAACCCTGGAAACTGACTCCCTTTGGGGCCACAGGGATGGTTTCTGGCTTTGTCTCCTGACCCACTTACCCAAGGCAACCGGATCCCCTTGTCCCTTTAATTCTGGTGACTTCCGCAGGCCGGGCCCTTTCTTCCTGTGCCAGGAGAAGTGGGGGTGCTCTCCTTTCTTCCTCCCAGTGCACAGGGGGTGTGGAGCAGAGCCAGGCTCAGCGCCGATTGGCTCATCCACATTCTCTTCTGCTAGCGGCCTCCAGCACAACCGCATCTGGGAAATCGGAGCCGACACCTTCGGCCAGCTGAGCGCCCTGCGTGCCCTGTGAGTCACGGAAGGACCCGGGGTGGGTCTCTCCGGTCATGCTCAGGCCTCTGCACACGTGTAGATGACACAACAGATTCTCCCCATTCACAGCACACACAAGAGACTCAGCCCAACTTCGCCCCCTCCTTTCCCCATCCCCTATTCCCATGGCATCTCAAGCCACTTTCCCAGCGGGGACCCAGGGGCCATGAGTCTCCAGGGACAAGAAGCTACATCCCTGCTCTGAAGCCCTAGCCAGATGGGGATGCAGAGAGGTTCCCTGTCCCTAAAGGCTCAGGTTACTGCTCTGGGGGGCACTTGGAAGGGGAGGAAGGTAGGGTCATAAGTCACCACCCCCTCCTGTCACGTCCTCTCTGCTTCTCTGTAGTGACCTGAGCTGGAATGCCATCCGGTCCATCCACCCCGAGGCCTTCGCGACCCTGCACTCTCTGGTCAAGCTGTGAGTGTCCACTTTGGGCTCCTCCCGGGGCCGAGAGCAGCAGCGACTGGGGACTGGCAGCAGAGCCTGGACCGCCTCACAGTGGGCTCATGTGTATCTGTGACCATGCATCCCGGGCATGGGCCCAGCCCAGCAATCATCCTCAAGGTCCTTTCACGCTCTGGGGCCTGATTCCCAGAGAGCTGACCTCTGCAAGTCTGAAACTCTCATCAGCCAGTGTCAGGGGTAGCTCAGTCCTCCCCGTACAGCCTTCTCATGAGCTGAGAGTATATGTGAGCTGAACCCCTTCAAAGCACAGGAGTGGGGGGACCCAATGCCCCAGAGCTCAGCGCGGTCCCCTGATTCCCGGGGCTGTCATTCTTCAAGGCATCTTAGGTCCTCTGAATTACAAGGCAGACCAACAGAGAACATAGAGTGATAGACGCATGGTCGCAGGTCAGGTCAGACGGGGCCTCTGTGGAGCTGCCACATACCATGGTTCAGGCTGGGCACTGCTCAAGAGCTCCTACTGACTGTCACCACACTGTGTCCTAAAAGCATGTCCACTCAGAAGGGGTCTCTGGAAGCTAGAGTGATAGTACAGCAGGTAGGGTGCTTGCCTTCTTACGCGGCCAGTCTTTGCTTGATCACTGGTACCCTATATGGTCTCCTGACCCCTACCAGGAGTGATGCTTGAGCACAGAGCCAGGAGTCAGCCATAAGCACTGTGGGGTGCGACCACCATGAAGACTCCCGGGGCAGATCCAGCCCTGACCTCGGCGACCCTCTGGCCCCACCCTCACTTACAGGTGGCCTCTGAGTTCGGGGAGAAACTGACTCAGCCCAGGGCTGGCCTTCAGTGCCCCCCCTCCCCCGTCCCGCCCAGTGGCAGCCCGCAGCCCCTCCCAGGCCCGCTGTCTGGGCTCTGGGCCTCGGCCCTGCCAGTCTCTCACCTTCGTTTTCCCTCTCCTGTTTGCTCTACTCCTGCCAACTAGGTAGGGGAGATATTTTTATCCCTTTGAAAGATGAGGACATTGAAAGGTAGGCAGGTTTGTGACTCCCCGCGCCAGGCTTCCTGCCTCCAGCCCAGGCTGTCTGCACAGGGCTGGCTGTGGGCGCCACAGCCCAGGGGGTAGCCACCCCTTTGCTCTCTGATGTGGCTTTGGAGGGAGCCGTGGACGCGCTCACCTCTGGCTACCAGGCTGACTCTGCACCACAGAAAGGACTGCTGCCCCCATGTGAGAAGGCGGCTGGCCCTGCCCACCCCTCACTCTGGCCTCTTGGAGCACCAGAAGGCAGGGGAGGGGGATGGAGTCAGCGCCCCTGATGGGCTGGTCAGGGAAGCCCTGGGAGGAATGTGGACATGGGGCTCTGTTCCCAGGAAATGGGATGGTTGGGCCTCCGCTTGGAGCAGCCCCTGGTCTGAGGTGGGCACTCACATTTGACGAGAGGAGGGAGGACTGAAGGAAGCCAGGGATGGAGGGAGGGAGGAAGGGAGGGGGCAGTGACCGTCACAGCCAGGATCTCTGGCCATTCCTGCCCCGCCCTGCCATCCTGCTCTCTTGTCTGTGCCCAGCTCGTCCTTGGCTCCTCTCCTCTTGTTCCCAGCCCGGGCACACTGGCCATGCCCTCGGCAGCCCCCACCTCTCGCAGTCCCTCTGACCCCTGACGTCTGCTGTCCTAGGGACCTGACGGACAACCAGCTGACCACCCTGCCCCTAGCCGGACTGGGGGCTTTGAAGCACCTGAAGCTCAAAGGGAACCCGGCTCTCTCCCAGGCCTTCTCCAAGGACAGCTTCCCAGAACTGAGGTGAGGGCCAGTCGTGCCCGGGAATGTCGCAGGTCCTCACCGAGGGTCTCACCAAAGTTGGCTCGTGGAGGAGCGCAGGCCTCCCCCAGTGAGCATCTCCTCTGGCCCCAAGGGGTGCCCCTCTATGAGTTGAGTCCTTCTGCGAGCACAGAGGGGAAGAAGGGCCCTGCTGGACTGTACCCCTCACTGCATGTGGGCCCCGGGGATGAGTCGGCCAAGGGGGACCCCCACCCAGGATCTGGCACCTGTCCTCCCCACACAGGGGGCCCAGGGAGGGGCGGAGGACAGGGGCGGGTCGCCCTGAGGCCAGGAGAGTCTGCAGGAGAAGCTCTCTCCTAAGATGACAAAAGCTGCTGGCTGGAGGGGAGCGGAACCCCTGAGTTGTCAGATTTGGGGGAGACTGTTCCCCAGTCTAAGCCAGATGTAGGGGTACCATAGATGACAGGCAGCGTTCCTTTCCCAGCCTCAGTTTTCCCCACGAGCAAGGAAACGCGGGGCTCTGCTCCCAGCAGTGCCAGGCTGAGGCCTCTCGCAGAGAAGCCTGGGCCGAGGCCAAGCAGAGCGTCCCTAAGGCTGCCCCCTCGCCCAGGATCCTGGAGGTGCCCTACGCCTACCAGTGCTGTGCCTATGGCGTCTGTGCCAGCTTCCTCAAGGCCGCCGGGCAGTGGGAGGCTGAGGACCTGCACCCTGAAGATGAGGAGGCTCTGAAGCGGCCCCCCAGCCTCCCTGCTGGGCACAGCGAGAGCCACTGTGAGTGTGGGGCTGGGCTGGCAGGGGGAGATGGGAGAGGGGACGTGGGATGGTTCTGGGGGTGGGGGGGAGCCTTCAGTGGATTCGCATCTGGTGGCTCCAAGGCTGGGCCCCGGGGTGCTGGTGGGAGGCGGGGTGGGGGGGGAGATAGGACAGAGGCAGTGACAGCACCTGGTAGCCTGGTATTTGGAGATTTTGCCCTCCCTTGGGACACCAGCGTGTCCTCCCTCCCTGCCTCCCTGCCATATGGCCCTGAGACTTAGAGTGGTCCCGGAGAAGGCTCCTCTTCCACGAGTCCCACGGAGCTCGTGATGGATCCCCTAATCCCGTTTTCAGAGAGAAGTCCCCTCCCTTGTGTCCCGGAGTCAGGGGAGCAAGCTGAGGTGCTTGGCTGTCCACGGGGAGTCCCCCCTCCACTCCAGGGAGGCCCGAGAGGCCCCAATGTGCGTGAGGGCGCCTGCCTCTGAGAAGGGCCTTGTTGCCCGGCGGCTCTGGCCAGACCCGGCTGTTTTGGAAGACTTGGGGGAAATCAAATGTTACGGTGGAAGGCAGGCAGCCAGGAGGGAGCGGAGGGACTGTCTACTAACGGGAGTCTTGGGTAACGGGTAGAAGGAACTTCCGTTCTCCACGCCGGACACAGCACAGACAGATTCGGGAGGAAAGGAAAAGAGGGATTTTCCATTTCTTCCCTCCCGCCTCTGGTTTGGTGGCTACATCCAGCAGTACTCACAGGTTCCTCCGTGCTCCAAGCTCAAGGGTGGCTTGTGTAGGTGCTCAGGGGACCCGACAGTGCCAGGAATCAAATCAAAACCTGCAGAGTATGCATGCCAGCCCACTGAGTTCTCTCTCTAAATGCTATTTTAGTTGGGTAGGGAGGGGCATATCGGGCAGTGCTCAGGGGGCTGCTCCTGGCTCTGTGCTCAGGGAACCATGATGTACTGGGGGCCAAAACTGGGCCTCCCTGGGGCAGGAGAGATAGTACAGCAGCTTCTGGTACTTGCCTTGCATATAGCTCACCAGGGTCAATCCCTGGCACCTCGAATGGTCCCCTGAGCACCACCCAGAGTGATCCTTGAACACGGAGCCAGGAATAGGCCCTGAGCACTGTTGGGTGTGGCCCAACCCCCTCCCCCTCAAAGAAATCCCCAAATCAAGCAAGCAACCAACCCACCAAACAAAACCCACCCATAAAACCACATCCAAAGCTTATGCCTAGCCCTTTAAGACATTTCTCTGGCTTTTCCATGCCTTTTCAATGTCGGACACCCCCTCCACGATTATCAGTGGAGAAGTTGAACTGGAAAACCCAATCTAGGCCTAAGAAGAACATTTCACGATCTCACTCTGGTGTAGACAGAGCTGGACTAATCGCCATCCAACACGGGGCGGCCTGGGGCCTGATTCTGGCTGCACCTCACTGTCCTTGTGTGTGAGACAGGCAGATGACGCTCATCAACTCGGAGCTGGGACAAGGAGACATTCCAGCAATGGCAGAGGCTGTCAGCAGCCGTCAACCAGGATCACTGAGGGGGATACCAGTCTTCCAGGGCCTGCAGATGAGGGGTGCAGGACACAGCTTATGGAGACTATTTGGCAGAATATCAGGGGTCTCTGAGACAGTCCCTTGTGAGGTACCTCCCCAGGGTGGGAGTAAGGACCAGACAAGGAGTCCAGCACGGCTGGCCCAGGGCCGGCAGACGGCCGTCCCCAGAGAACATTCCGGATGCCTGTTGTACACTCCCTCAGGGGCTGGAAGGAGGAATGGAAACTTCCCTTCCTCAAGGTGAAACTTTCCACCGGCTTAGGTCCTGGGGAACTGCAGGGCGTTGGGATCGTGGGCTGCCTGCCGCTGGTAACGGGAGCTAGGGCAGGGCCCCCCACTTCCTGTGGGAGCTCGCGAGCCCGAGGAGGAATGCCAGGGGCGGCTGCGGCAGCCAGATTCGATTTCCTCGGCGTTTGAAGAGTGGTTACTTAACACCTTGGCTGTGACTTTCCCAGCCTCAGACGGAGCTGCCGGCCGCAACCCCCTGTGTTTCATTCATGCCTCTTCACTTCAAAGAATCGCCGGCCCCGTTCTGGAGAGCAGGGCGGGCAGAGAGGAAAGGTGGAGGGGGGTTAATGCCAGGGCTGTGGGCACACCCGATCTCCTGCCTGCCTTGATGGGGTCTGGGCTGTGGAGCCTCATAGCGCCTCCCTCCCTGCCTCCTCCCAACTGAAGGTGGGGGTCCCCATTAGGTGGTGGGTAGGGGCACAGGGGAACACGGGGCGGGGGGAAGAATCCACACGGGAGACCATCATGAGTGCCAAAGAGGGGGGCACGTGACCCAGAGAGTCGTCTCCTCACCCCCCGTAAGGCCACTGTCCCTTAAACCTAAGTCATGGGCTTTATTGTTTTTTTCTTTTTCTGACTCATGGACTTTAAACTGGACTCAGGAGGTACCGCAGGCTCTGCATTCTGGGGCCAGGTTCCATCGCCAGCACTGCATGGACCCCCCAACACAGCAGGAATAACACCCCTTGAGCACCCGCCTGTGTAGTCCCCCAAAGAATAATAGTAACAACAAGGAAGCTAAAGTACCACTCAAGTTTTTAGCCCCTTGCCTGGTCTGAATAGAGAAACTAAAGCTTTGTGGGATTTTTAAAAAATTGGTTTGGGTGGCCTGGAGCAATAGCACAGCAGGTAGGGTGTTAGCCTTGCACGCGGCCAACCTGGGTTCAATCCCCAGCATCCCATATGGTCCCCCATCCACCGCCAGGAGTAATTCCTGAGTACAGAGCCAGGAGTAATCCCTGAGCATCACTGGTTATGACCCAAAAAGAAAAAGAAAAAAAATTAACAAAGAATTGGTTTGGGGCCATAGTTAACTATACCTGGCTCTTTGCTCGGGAGTGACCCCTTGTGGTACTCAGAGACCATCATATGCTGTGCCAGGAATTGAACCAGGGTGTGCCATGTACAAGGCACGGGCCTTAATTCCTATCCTGTTTCTCTGGACACAGGAAAGGAAAGCTGTATTCTCCAACAAAAGCCCTTCAAAAATAATTAGTGGAAAAGATACTTTAAAGTTCTGATGTTTTCGACAATCATTTCAATCATTTTCTAATCATTTGAAAATGATTTCAAATCACTTCTTATAGAGTGTATGGGCCCCCAGAGATCCCTCCCACCTGGAGCTCACAGCCCTTAGTTAAGAAACGTTACACTTGGGGCTGGAGCAATAGCACAGCGGGGAGGGCGTTTGCCTTGCACACGGCCAACCCAGGTTCGATTCCCAGCATCCCATATGGTCCCCTGAGCACCACCAGGGGTAATTTCTGAGTGCAGAGCCAGGAGCAACCCCTGTGCATAGTCAGGTGTGACCAAAAAAGCCCCCCCCCCAAAGAAACATTACAGCTGGTGAAAAAGAATAAAAGATCTCAGGAGCTAGGGTGGGTCTTAGCACTAGAGTGCTTGCTTGCATCTGTGACGCCCTGAGTTTGATGGCAGCACCATCCCCCTCACCCTACACCCCCCCCCGCCCCCAAAACCATCTCACTCTATTTTAACATGTAACAGAATTTCGGACCAGGAGATTTCCTTTAGAGACCTATTTTCTCAAAATAGAAAAATGGCAACTCTGACTCCAGTTGGAGGGATCATTAGAGTCTGTCTAGTCCAGTCTCTAGTTGGGTTTAGAAGTTATCTTTCTCCTGGGAATCTTCTATTTCAGGAATTTCCATGACAGACGTATTTGCAAAGTTCTCCCAGGCATCCCTCCCCACCCCCACTCCAGAATCTGTCCCTGCCCGGGAAAGCAGAAGGCCGAAAAGAGGGGGCCCAGACAATCGAACAACCCTGGTCAAATTCTGTCTGTGCTCTTTGGCTATGAAACCTAGGGAAACCCACCTACTTCTATTTTATTTTTATTTACAGCACATCTATCCCAATGGTAGACCTAACTCAGCAGGATTGAGTCCTGATGGGAGATCTGTTAGCTGATTCAGCACTGGGATCTGATGGCAGATCTGTTAGCTGACTCAGCAGAACTGAGACCTGTTGAGAAATCTGTTAGCTGACTCAGCGCTGAGCCCCGGTGGCAGATGTGTTATCTGAATCCGCAGTGCTGGGCCCTCACGTTCTTCTCCATAAGCTCCCTAAGGGCAGGACCATCTCGTCCTTCTCTTCGCTGAGTTGCTCCATACTGGCCTGGCATGAGTGAACACTTTCAGATTTCCACTTCTCTTCTCTGTCAGACACTTGGCACTGTGGGAGCTAAAAGCCTTCCCATTACTCAGTGAGGACCAGAACACATCTGCTGGAATTGCCCTTTGCCCCTTTAATCCATCTTTTTTTTAATGAAGTAAAATAGTTTTCCTGAGGGAGGATAAGAATTCTAAGGAGAGTGTGGGTCCTCAAGAGGGAGGGAGAGAGAGAGAGAGAGAGAGAGAGAGAGAGAGAGAGAGAGAGAGAGAGAGAGAGAGAGAAGAAAAGCCAGAAGGAATGGGAATCCAGACCCTGAAGGATGCGGGCACCCCCAGAGTGGAGTGGGGACCCCGAGGGCGGAGCGCCCTAGCAGGAAGAACTTGCATGTCCAGCGCAGAGGTGGACTGTGCCTCACTCTCTTAGCTGAGCTTGGCCCACCCCAGGACTGTCCACAACGTGCAGGAGTGATTCCCTCAGGCCTGACAGGCTCCAGCTCTCTGAGGATACAACCAGCTCCCCACACCCCAACTTAAACTCTCCCGATTGCTTTGACTATTTCTAAATAGCTCCTCCCCCCTCCTCCGCTGTCCCTCAGAGCACACTGTGGTGGCTACACGGCCTCAGGAAGATGTGTCTAGTGTCTGGGCTCACAGTTTGGCACAGCCCCAGGGCAGCCTGGCCGGTGCAGAGTGGCCTCTGGTGAGGAGGGCTCCCTGGCGAGGAGGCCACCGGGGCATGCTGGGAAGTAGGAAGAGCCCAGCTAGGGAGAAGTAATGCAGAACAGCCCCATTTTTTGGGTTTGCCTTTTGAAAATTAATTTTACTATATCACCAGTCTCTTCACCAGTGTACATTTCTTTTTTTTTCTTTTTTTTTGCTTTTTGGGTCACACCCGGCAATGCACAGGGATTACTCCTGGCTCTGCTCAGGGGACCACATGGAATGTTGGGGATCAAATCTGGGTCAGCCGCATGCAAGGCAAACGCCCTACCCTCTGTGCTATCGCTCCAGCCCCCAGTGTACATTTCTTATCACCAATGTTCCCATTTTTCCTTCAGCCCTGTTCCCCCACCCCAGTCTGCCTCCATAGAGGGCTCTTCTCTCTCTCTCGCTCTCTCTCTCTCTCTCTCTCTTTCTCTCTCTTTCCTTTTGGGTGTTCTGGTTTGTAATATAGCTACGGAAAGGTTAACATGTCTGTCCCTTTACCTCCTTTCAGCACTCAGTTCTTGTCCAGAGTGATCATTTCCAACTGTCATTGTCACAGTGCTCCCTTCTCTCCCTTCTCTCTCCTGACTGCCCTCTCCTCCTGACTTGTGGCAAGCTTCCACCAGTCCTCCTAGCAGCCCTACTCGGCACACCAAATGTCCACTCTCATGCAGGGCTACTTACTGGGGTGGGTATCTCGAGAAACGGGGGCCTAGGGCCAGGGCCCTCACCCATGTTCTCGGCTCCCCTCTCAGATGACCCGGACCTGGAGGAGCTCCAGCTGGAACTGGAAGACTCGAAACCAACCCCCAGCGTCCAGTGCAGCCCCATTCCAGGTGAGACCAGGGGAGCTGGGGTGGGGGTGGAGGACTGGGGAAGAGAAACACACTTTGTGAGATGCCAGTTCAGCCTGGATTTTCTGTGGCCCTGCTTGGGCCTGAGTATGTAGGGGGGAAGGTGGGGGGGAGGGCAAGTTCTGGGGTGAGGAGCTAGCGTTCTTTCCCTTAATGACTATGGGGGGGCCCCCAAGGATGGGACAGAGAGTAACTTTCAGCAGCAGGTAATTTAAAGATTCTGCAACCAGGAAGGTCTGTGTCCCTGAGAATGTGTGCAGTGACCCCATTGTTCTGGGCAGGGTAGGGGCAGCTGCAGTTCCCCTCTGGACCCCGCCACAGGCTCCCCGTCCCTCTCTGTTCCACCTCAGGGAGAGGCTGGCTTTCCGGACATGTGGGCAGGAGAACCCACTGTCTATTTCCTTTATAAAATATTACTGGCGTTTTGATAGGGATTGCACTGTGAAGAGCAACGAGGAGGACACACACCCAGCAGTGCTCAGGGTTTGCTCCTAGCTCTGTGCTCAGAGCTCCCTCCAGGCGGTGCTCAGCAGGCCCTATATCTGGGGACAGAACAAGATCATACAAGACAAGTGCCTTGTTCCTGTTATTTATCGTTTGTCCTAAGAACCACTGTCTAGATACCTACAGCCCAATAAGAAAATGGTCTTTCTCGTGGCACAGTTCCGCCTATAGTGTTCAGAGCGCAGTCCCTTCCCTGGACACAGGGTGCTGAGGCCATTCCGGAAGGCTGCAGTGCACCATTCAGGCCAGGCCAGGAACTGTTCAGAATGGACAGGAAGCCGTGGACAGTTGGCCTCTTCTATTCACACTCCCCACCCCCTTGGTTTTCCGACGTTCCATCTTCCTTTGGCTCAGGCACCTTCACCTTCTCTAAAGCACAAATAGCGCTTGCCCGCCAATGCCCCACACCTGCCCTCGGCACTTAGTGACCCCAGCGCACCCCCTAGTGTCCACCCAGGGAAAGAGGCTGGTGCTCTCTCCTTCCAGGCTCTGACCTGCTCCTCCTGCCCCCCAGAAAGGTCACCTGGAAAAACCAATCCTCAGCCATGGGAAAGGAAAAGAGGGAAGCCCGGAGAACAAAGTGCATTTTACTCTTTTTTTTTTTTTTTTACTTTTTAAATAGCTTGTGTATCCATAGGCGGAGCCTGCACCACACAGTCTCAGAATACAAGTTTTTGAGGAATATAGGATCTCACAAAGTTTGGATAATAACAATTTAACTTCTAAAAAGACACTAGAAACTGGTATAGAGTAAAATCCCAATTTAGCCTAAAATGCATATGTAGGACCAGAGAGAATACTAGGGCTAAGGCGCTTGGCCTGCATACACCTGACCCAGCCCCACACAGGGGCCCTGAGCACCTCCAGAATTGACATCTGAGCATAGAACCAGGAATAGGACCTGAACTAGCCAGGTGTAGCCTGGCCTCCAGCCCCATGCATCCGTATATATGTATGGATTTTTTTAATTGCAAGAAAACATATCAGGGGGCTGGAGCCATAGTACAGCGGGTAGGGCATTTGCCTTGCACGCGGCCGACCCGGTTCAATCCCCAGCATCCCATATGGTCCCCTAAGCACCGCCAGGAGTAATTCCTGAATGCAGAGCCAGGAGTAACCGCTGAGCAGAGTTGGGTATGACCCAAAAAGCAAAACCAAACAAACAAATAAATAAAGCAAAAAAAAAAAATCATAGTGATTAGTTCTCTCTGAGGGGGATCATAAGCAGTTTTAAAGCAGTTTTAGCTGTTCCATGTCACATTTTCCAAATGTCCTGCAATTCCCACCAATGACTTGGTGATCAGAAAAAGAATGTTTAAAAACTAGCTCCCACAAAAGCTTCTCAAATCTCCAAGCTACCTTCGAGGGAGTGGGAAGCTCCAGATAAGGAGGAAATGGTGTGTTCAGTGACATCGAGTGATTTAAGAGCAGGGTACCCGCCGCCCCGGGCCCCCATCTTCTGGGGCCCCAGGAGGGAACCCCCAGGTGGGAGTTCAAGAAACAGAAGCAACCGTTTCTTGGTTTTCTCGTTGTGCTGTATCTTCTCACACTGGTGGGCTCCCGGAATGTTGGATGTGGTCTGCCGGCCCCTCACCAACCAAGGGGGAGCAAGCTGGAATGAGCTGCTCAGGGCCCTGCCGTGGATCTTTAGTGAGTCGTGAGCACTGAGTGGGAGACACGGAGCCTCAGGCCAGGGCAGCCTTCAACCCCTCAGCCTCTGCCCTGGCTACAGCCCCGGCAGACGCTCTTTGCACACCTCTAGGCCAGCCCGTCCTTTCCTTTCTTCCAAATGGGAATTAGATGTAGTTAACGTGTCTTCACTGCCAGGGTTCACTTTGGGCCTGGCTCCTGTGTGCATATTTCTGTTTGTATTTGTCCACAGAAATATTTGTGTGTGTTTATGTTTGTGCTATTCGTGTGACTGTGTGCGTGTCTGTTGGTGCACGCTTCTGTGTGTTTCTGTTGGTGTTATTTGTGTGACTGTAAGTTTCTGTTGGTATGTATTCCTGTTTGAGTGTTTCTGCTGGTGCATGTGTCTGTTTGTGTTGTTATTTGTGTGACTGTGTGTGTGTCTGTTGGTGCAGGACTTTGTGTGTTTCTGTTGGTGTGTGTTTCTGTTGGTATTATTTGTGTGACTGTGGGTTTCTGTTGGTACATATTTCTGCTTGTGTGTTTCTGTTTGTGTTATTTGTGTGACTGGTGCAGGACTTTGTGTGTTTCTGTTGGTGTATGTTCTGTTGGTGTTATTTGTGTGACAGAGTTTCTGTTAGTACATATTTCTGTGTGTGCTTCTGTGTGTGTTTCTGCTGGTGTGTGTGTCTGTTCATGTTGTTATCTGTGTGACTGTTTGTCTGTGATGATTCTGTGTGTTTCTGTTGGTGTTATTTGTGTGACCATGAGTTTCTGTCGGTATGTATTTCTGTGTATGTGTTTCTGTTGGTGCGTGTGTCTGTTTGTGTTGTTGTGTGACTGTGTGTGTATCTGTTGGTGCACAATTCTGTGTGTTTCTGTTGCTGTCAGATTAGCGGTCATGTGTAGCTCCTCGGTAGAGTAAAGGAAGTTCCCAAGTTCCCGCCCGCTGCTTGTCTCCCCTTAACTCCCCCTGGGAGTCGGGGAGATGCAGTCAGCCTGCCTCGGGGCTGTTCTGGGAGGGCCTGGCTGTGCGGTGAGCTGCCTCCGTGAGGTGACGTCTGGTCCTCTCTCCCACAGGCCCCTTCAAGCCCTGCGAGCACCTGTTTGAGAGCTGGGGCATCCGCCTGGCTGTGTGGGCCATCGTGCTGCTGTCCGTGCTCTGCAATGGGCTGGTGCTGCTCAGCGTCTTTGCGGGGGGACCCGTGGCGCTGCCGCCTGTCAAGTTTGTGGTCGGTGCCATTGCTGGTGCCAACACCCTGACGGGCATTTCCTGCGGCCTCCTCGCCTCTGTTGACGCCTTGACCTTTGGCCACTTTGCCCAGTATGGAGCCCGCTGGGAGACGGGGCTGGGCTGCCAGGCCACAGGCTTCCTGTCCGTGCTCGGGTCCGAGGCCTCTGTGCTGCTGCTCACGCTGGCTGCCGTGCAGTGCAGCGTCTCCGTGTCCTGCGTCCGGGCCTACGGGAAGGGCCCCTCATTGGGCAGCGTCCGAGCCGGGGCCCTGGGCTGTCTGCTGCTGGCCGGGCTGGCCGCGGCCCTGCCCCTGGCCTCCGTGGGGGAGTATGGGGCCTCCCCACTCTGCTTGCCCTACGCACCCCCTGAGGGCCAGCCGGCCGCGCTGGGCTTCGCCGTGGCCCTGGTGATGATGAACTCCTTCTGCTTCCTGGTGGTGGCGGCGGCCTACATCAAACTCTACTGCGACCTGCCGCGGGGCGAGCTGGAGGCCGTGTGGGACTGCGCCATGGTGCGGCACGTGGCCTGGCTCATCTTCGCCGACGGGCTCCTCTACTGCCCCGTGGCCTTCCTCAGCTTCGCGTCCATGCTCGGCCTCTTCCCCGTCACCCCGGAGGCCGTCAAGTCGGTCCTGCTCGTGGTGCTGCCGTTGCCGGCCTGCCTCAACCCGCTGCTCTACCTGCTCTTCAACCCCCACTTCCGGGATGACCTGCGCCGCCTCTGGCCCTGCACGGGCCCGCCGGGGCCGCTGGCCTGCGGGGTGGCCGGTGAGCTGGAGAAGAGTTCCTGCGATTCCACCCAGGCCCTCGTCGCCTTCTCCGACGTGGATCTCATTCTGGAGGCTTCCGAGGCTGGGCAGCCTCCTGGCTTGGAGACCTATGGCTTCCCTTCAGTGACCCTCATCTCGTGTCAAAAGCCAGGGGTGCCCCGGCGGGAGGGGCTGGAGGGAACCCACTTTGGGAACCCACCACCCTCCATGGACGGAGAGCTGCTCCGAAGGGCCGAGGCCGCTTTGCCAACAGGCGGGAGCGTGTCAGTGGGCCGGGGCTTCCAGCCGCCTGGCACCGCCTTTGCCTCACGCTTGTAAATGTTCCTCCTCGGTCTTCTCTTCCCATCTCTTCCCTCTCCTCTTCCCCCTCCGCAAATGATGGCTGCTTGTCAAATAAACACAACCAAAGCTCAGCCGTGTGGTCCAGGGCAGGAGGGCCCACTCCCTGGTGCCTTTGGTCTTCTCTTCCCAGTGTGCTTCTGGGCCTGCTCTGCCCTGGGCCTCCCTCAACTCCACGTTCATGCCGGACCTCTTCCCCGTCCCCTCAGGAGCTCCCCAGCGAGAGCTGGGCCTTCGCTTAAGGGTAATGAGAGCCTCACAGAGCACAACTGATGAGCTGAGCTGTCCTAGACCAGGGTCCGGTGGCCGGGACCACCATCTCCCTGCGATACTGGAGAGGCGACACACTGGGCTCTGAGTCCCGTTTACCATGAGATCTGCCTAATCAAGTACATCTGGGGAGACACTGCAGGTTCTGTCTCTCATTTCCTGGAGTCACAGCACATGTCAGTGTAGTGAAAGGCGCTAAGAGGGCCACAGCAGTAAGACCTGTTGAACCCTGCCTAACCCAGGTTCCCAGATGATTTGACGACAGGGTTTTGTTTGTTCGATTTTCATGGAATATCTTAATAGCACGTGAACTTTAGCTCTGCTCACCCCAGGAGCCTCTCTCTACCACTTAATGCTACACCCAAGTGACCTCGCAAGATGCCACCAATCCTTAAAATCTCTGATCCCGTGGACTTGATCACAGAGGAAATGGAGGATTTCATCAAGCAGAAGATGAAACGTCTCCTTCCTTTTGTCTTGCCCGAGGGAGGATGGCCAAGAGGCTGTCAGGGGAGTCTCACCTCAGTTTCTGCCTCGGGCCAAATGGGAGGTATTTGTACCCTCTCCCAGGTCACCAATGACACCCCTGCCCTCAGTGAGAGGGTGGGCTCCGGGATCTTGGAGGGGGGGCGCTCGGAGAAGTCTACGGCTGTCTGGCTATCTTCTACCTCCGAGCTGCCTTCCTTGCTTCTTCACCATATGGCCCTTCCTACCTCCTGCCACAGCCTGGCCCTCTCTTCTCTGAGAGACAGGGAGTCCTCAACTGGCCAGCCAGAGGGCTTTTTGAGTGCTACCTTCTGAGTTGTGGGAAACCTGAGATTCCCGGGTGTCCCACATACCCTTGGCCTTGTGCCTCTTTCCTCACCTTTCTTCCTACCTTGCTGTTGACCAAGTGCCTTGGTGCATTTCTAGAAAGCTCTCTTCCCAAACACACATGCACATTCAATAGCAGGATGAGAGGGAGCATTCAATAGGAGCTGGAGCATGGGTACAGATGTCCCAGGCACTTCCTGCAGACAGCAAAAAGAGTATCCAGGGGCCAAGGGTGTGGCTCAGTGCAAGAGCTCATGTGAGGTCCTAGGTTCAAGCTCCGGCACTAAAGAAAGAAAAGATAGCATGAATCCAATGCTGAGAAAGGGCTGAGACTTGTTCCAGGGCATCCTTCCCCTCCTGGTTCCTCTCTGTTTCTTAAATCAGGACGGGAGTCTAAAACCTGAGATCAAAAGGAACACAGCCTGAAGCTAGTCTGAGTGTCAGCACCCACAGCTTAGCTTTCTTCTCTTCCCCATGCAGCCCCCAGGGTCCTGGAGGAATTCTCATGAGGCCCAGCAAGGTAGTTTGGCTGAAGCAGTGAGATTGAGCCCAGAGGGAATGGGTCCACTTCCGAATCTCTTCAGAAGTCTGGACTCATGGACTTAGTAGTTGACTGTGCCTGTCCCGTAAAGGAGCACAGAGACAGCGTGAACCTCACTCACGATGGCAGAGTCACTGGCCGCTGGGTTGAGGACCCTGGTCTTCTTAGTCCCCGGAGTGGAGCAGAGCCTTCAAAGGGAGGAGTTTCTTTGACTTTGCAGAGACTGTCTGACTCTCCCAAGGAGGGGCGTTCTCTGACCTGCCGGGTGCGAAGGCAACACTGGGATGACTTTTGGGAGCCTCAATTCCAGGAAGTCATCCAGTATCCTTCTCCCAGGCACCTTCTCCCAGTGTAGTCACTATTCCTGTGGAGTCAGGAAGCCAGTGCCAAGCGGACGGTGGCCTGACCACGTGTGGGAGGTATAGCAGGTTGGCAGAACAGTTCTCTGCTGTGACAAAGGGAACGGTGGATTTTGGCTGCAGCATTCAGCCAACATCTACTCCAGCTCTGGGCCTCTGTCAAGGCTGGGTGGGAGTCGGCCATGAACTAGTTTCAGAATTCAAAAGGCCCACTTGCTGTCACACATCTCCCAAAATACGGCAGCAAGTCAGTAATGACTCCCATGATCAGTCCCATTGTAATCAGTACAAGACTGTGATTCTGTATGTCTTTGACTAAGTACATCATCCAAATCCAACTTATGCAATGATGCAGATGTATCATATTTGGTCAACAAATGGTGTCCATACTGGTGTCCACGGGGAGTGTCCACCTGAGGGTCCTAGAGTGGAGAACCCTTGGCAACTGCTCACCTCTCTGAGTTCTCTTGGGCTCTGGGTGTTGTCCTGTGGCAAACCACAATCTCTTCTCAGACTGACTTGTGGGGAAGAACTTCCTCTCATGGGTCATGGTCTTGAAAGCATGCAGAGTTTTAAAGCAAAGTGCAGGGCCAGAGCAATAGCACAGCGGGAAGGGCGTTTGCCTTGCACACGGCCGACCTGGGTTTGATCCCCGGCATCCCATATGGTCTCCCAAGCACCGGCAGGAGTAATTCCTGAGTGCAGAGCCAGGAGTGACCCCTGAGCATTGCTGGGTGTGACCCAAAAAGCAAAAAAAAATTAAAAAAATAAAGCAAAATGCAGACAGCAAGAGGAAAACCCTTCGATTCGGTGTAGAGATTTGAAGAGCAAGGACTTCACAGAGCCTTTCGCTGGGCCTCCTCTCTGCCTTCCTCTCCCAACTTTTGCGTTCCCAGGAAGAACAAAATACTTCAGGATTGGGGGATGTGAAGGAGGAAGGCCTGAGTGAGTGGAGACAATGAGAGGCAGCTAGAATCCTCGATCCTTTCTGTCACATCTCCTCTAACTACCTCTGCTCTGGTATAGCAAGATCTCTCACCCAACACCCCCTCTGTCACTTCTGGGGTCCCCTGTTCCATGCCCTCTCCAGCTGTGTGAAGTATACAAATTGTCAAGATGTAAATATTTGGATTCTTTTGTGTAATAAAGCCCCAGTGAAAGATCACGTGTGTCGGTCTCTTTTCTGCTGCCCTGGTGGGGCCATGGCCAGTGGCCAGAGATGGTCCTTAGGCTCTGTGGGATAGGAGGAATCCTATCAGCTTCTGCTTCAACCTGTCTCCTGAGTTCCTGGGCTACTCTGAGCACAGCCGCGGTGGCTTGGAGTTGAAATCTGGAGTGGTTACAATCAATGCCACCCAACCCCTATTTAAGTACCCTTTTATCATCTAAAATAACTCCAGAAGCAAATCAGGCTTATTACTTAGATCTCAGCACCCCAGATCTAAGCCTATTTTTGGGGTTTCCTTATTCTGCAAACCACTAAGAATCAGTTTTCTTTCCTCATTTTGGGTAACTTTCCTTTCCTGCCTGGAACTCCGCTCCCCACAAGCTTCACTTCAGAGTGGGGGAGTGTCCTCAAGATACCCAGGTGGGCCTTCACTAGGGACGGGAGATACTAGCTCAACCTAAGCCTGCAGGCGTGGAAATGAAGCTGCTGGTCCCAAAACCCAGGAGGGCCCTGTGCCCAGTCCGACTCCTTCGCCGTCGGCAGCACCTGTCTCCTGCTCTCATCAGACAGAATTCTAAAGCCCTCTATCCTTCTGGGCCAGCTGCAGGAAAGGCAGCTGCTCGGAGGTTCTTGCTAGACTGAGTTGGAAGAGAGAAGGGGTGTTTCTTCAGATATGTGCAAGGCAATCCAGGAAATCTAAGATCAGGAAGAGCAGTGGGACGAGGTCTTGTGTGCTTGCAATCGCCGACACTGTTTCGGATTTGTGGCCACTGGGTTCTTTCCAGAGGAAGTGTGTGATTACAGGCCCAGAGTAGACTCCGCTGCTCTGTGTGGGCCTGTCCTGGTGTCTGTCTGCTTCCCAAACACGAGCAAGTGCTTCCTCCTCACCCTTGCCAAGATTTAAATAACTTTCATATTTTATAAAAATTTATTACATCTAAATGGTTCAGATAACATGTTTGTGGTTTTTTTTTGTTATTGCTGTTTTTTTTTTTTCAGTTGGGGGGGCTAGCTGTTGGGTCACACCTGGTGGTGCTCAGGAGAGACTGATGGTTATGCACAGAGGAACATATGCAGTATCAGAGGCTCCAAATCAGGGGATGAAACATGCAAGGAAAGCCCCTTAACCCTGTACTATGTCTCCGAAACAGTGGCACTTGACCCTGAATGCAGCTGCGACAATGGCTTAAATGTTGGCACTGCATATGGCCCCCTGAGCACACAGCCAGGAGTGCCCCTCTCCCCTCCCTGTAGGATAACATTGGTTTGTCCTTTCTGCTTTGCTACAGGGAGTTTAGGTTTATTGGGTTACTCCCATTACAGTGCTCCCATTCCTCTGTGTTTACTTGTGACTTCTTTCTTTGTGCTCTGTTAACTTGTAAATATTGCTTTTCTCAATGAAGTCATAACATTTACATACAAATGGTACTACACGGAAAGTATCATGCTAAGTGAAATGAGTCAGAAAGAGAGGGACAGGCATAGAAAGATTGCATTCATCTGGGGAAAATAAAGTAACAAAATAGGAGACTAACATCCTAGAATAGTTGAGATAAGTTGCAGGAGGTTTGCTCCATGGCTTGAAGGCCAGCCGCACATGCTACGGAAAAGGGCAGCTCAGACAGAGAAGGGAACACCAAGTAAAGGGTGTTGGGAGGATCCTCCCAGGATGGGAGATGCATGCTGAAAGTAGATGATGGACTGAACATGTTTGATACTCAATGCCTCTTTTGCAAACCTTGGCAACCAAAAGGAAAGAGAGAACAAAAGGGAATGCCCTACTACAGAGGAGGAATGGGATGGGGGTATGGGAGGGTTACTGGGATCATGGGTGGTGGAGAATGGGCACTGGTGGAGGGATGGGTATTCGATCATTGTATGACTGAAACCCAAGTACAAAAACTTGTAAGGTCAACAACTGTGCCACATGGTGTTTCACTAATAAAAAAATTAAAATAAAATTGATATAAAATTTTGCTCGAGCGGGCCCAGTAACGTCTCCATTGGAGACTTTGTTGTTAATGTGTCTGGCATATCGAATACTCTCGGTAGCTTGCCGGGCTCTCCGAGAGGGGCGGAGGAATCGAACTCAGGTCGGCCATGTTGGCCGCTTGTAAGGCGAACGCCCTACCGCTGTGCTATCGCATATTGCTTTTCTCTTCTCCTTAAGTCCTTTCCATAATTAATTCAGAGTAATGTCCTTTTTGTATGGACACAGGAAGACAGTTAATGCTATGCTTTTGTAACTTGGGAGTTAATTGACTCCAAATGATATTCACTCCTGGGCATCTGTTCTCAACTTAAGCTTCAGTTGCCCTTACTTCCTAGCACCCCAAAAGCAGAGCCCCAATGAGGGACTGGATGGACCCAGGGCAAGCTGTGAGCTACTCTGGCATTGAAATGGGCCAGGCCAAAGCTCCATAATTCTTAACTATAAGAGCATGGTCATGGACAAATGCTGTCATAATCCAAAAAAATAATAACTGGAGTAGGGTCCTGCTAGGGCTAGGAATGATTAACCCGGCCTGAGCACTATATTCTGAGTCTGTGGTGAGGTGTCCCCAGGAGAGTCACCCCACAACCTTAATATAACTCTCTTATTGTGTCCATACAAAATAACTAATATTAAGAAGTAGAATTAAGTTGTTAATTAAGTTATTGGACTAAGGAGAAGAGAAAGACCCCTGGTTGTATTTCCCTCCTTTGAGCCTGAGGGGCGATCAAGAAAGGCTTTCATGTTGATTGTGCTACTGGATGAGGTGTGGTGGCTACCCCCAAAGTGGGGAGTGGGAGAGAGAGGAGAGAGACCAGGGCAGCAAGATGGAGCACGGGGAGACCAACAAGGGGGACAGAGGGAGAAGAATGTAGGGGAAGAATGCAGGAACAGGCATGTGGAGAGACGAGAGACACAGCTGTGAGAGGAAGAGCAGAGAGCTGAGCGGGAGACACAGGAGGAGACGGGAATGAGTGGCAGAATGAGACTAGGATGAGGGGCTCAGTGAGACTAACATCCTAGAATAGTTGAGATAAGTTGCAGGAGGTAAGAACAGGCACGTGGGGAGAATGGAATAAATGGCAACTGATCACCAACCAGCCTGGTGGCCCTTATTTCCGCCTTTGTCTGCCCATGGCATGGGCCGTCTCAAGCGGAGAAGCAGCCCAAGTCCACCAAACCCAGGGGAAGAGAGAGAGAGAGAGAGAGAGAGAGAGAGAGAGAGAGAGAGAGAGAGAGAGAGAGAGAGAGAGACTGAGAGCGAGCCGGGGGCTTCCTAGCCCCCTGGAGATCACACACCTCTCCCAGAGGAGCTCAGGGTTTACTCCTGGCTCTGTGCTCAGGGATCACTCTTGGGAGTGGAAGCTTCCAAGATTAACGAAGTAAAATTGATGCTGGATTTGGGAGAATGGAAAGGGAGGGTGGTCCAGTAACCAAAACCAGCCTCAGTAACTTCATCACTGGACCTGGGTTCCCCAGGCTCTGCCCTCGGCCCCAATCTCACTAGTAGTTTCAGAGCCATGACTAAGTACAATGGTGAGAGCAATCTTATGGTACAACCCTTCATCATTCTAGAGACAAAAAAAAAAAAAAAAAAAAAGGAGAAACTGCCTATTACCCCAGAGCTACTGTGGGTTAACTGAGGAGACCGGAATAAATATTGGAACAGTATCCATTAGTTATTAAGTATGAGCCTGGAGTCAAACAGGCCTGGGTTGGGATCCCAGATCTACCATTAACAGCCCATTGTCCTTAGGTTTTACTTCCCCTAAGTCTGTTTAATTATCAGTAAAATGGAGATAATAACAGCACCCAGACTTTGAAGGTTATTGAAAAGATTGACGTTTTTCATGTAGAGCTTAGCTGCCTGGCGCACACTTGAGAAGCGTTAGCTGCGATGATTATTACACACTGATTCAAGAACACCCCCACCCACCCCTCCGTTTCCCTCCCTCAGGCTGCCCCAACCTAAACAAGACAACCTGGGCAGGGGGGCCACACGCTGATGGAAAAATACACACTTGGCTGGAAAACGGGCTTTATTTGTGTGTGTTGAATTCCCGCAGCAGCTGAAGGATAAATAGCTAGTCCCCAGCCTTAGCTCAGAGACTGCCCACAAGGTGGGTGGTAAAATCTGTTCTTATTTAGCTTTTGGGGAGACGTGGGGCGGGGGCTTGGGGGCAGCAGGAGAGGGGAGCTGGAATCTGCAATGTTTATATGATCAGTCATGGATGTCATCTCTCCTCTTTAATTAGGGGTTGGGGTTGAGAAACTTCACAAGACTTACTAGGAAGAGGAGAAGAGTGAATAGACGGGGCCATGAGCTTTCTGGGGCCCACCTTTGGTTGGACTGTTGTTTTCATCCTGAAGCCCCTGCTAGGCACAAAATAGATGGGAGCATTATGCCAGGCCCGGGGCTGGGCAATTTACATGCTTCATCCCAATTGATCCAAATCATCTGTTAGGCCCTGCCATTACTCATGTTCTACAGAAGAAACCCAAAGCACTAAGGAGATTGGGTAGTAGCACTGAAAACACATTGGGGGGCTGGAGCAACAGCACAGCAGGGTAGGGCATTTGCCTTGCACGCAGCGGACCTAGGTTCGATTCCCAGCATCCCATATGGTCCCCCAAGCACCGCCAGGAGTAATTCCTGAGTGCATGAACCAGGAGTAACTCCTGTGCATCGCCGGGTGTGACCCAAAAAGCAAAAAACAAAAAACAAAAACAAAGAAACAACAACAACAACAAAAAAACACATTGGTAAAGGCATGACCTGAGCTGGAATGGATCACTTCAATTTAAGGCCAAATTTTCCCATCCTTCTTTGGGCTCTAATTAGGAGCCTGGGCTTTACTAGCATTTTCTTGTATTTTTGATTTGTTTTGGGGTTTGGGGCGTCATACTCAGTGTTCAGGGCTTACTCCTGTGCTCAGGGATCACAGCTAGGTTTGGGAGACTATATGTTGTGCCAGAGATCAAACCTCGTGGGCTGTGTGCAAGGAAAGCACTTTGCCACTGGACTATTGCTCCAGCCTCAGTTCTTTCTAATTCTAAAGAACCTCTAATTCTGTTCTCTAGCCCAACTCCTCTGTACCCATTGTCAGAGTCAAACATTGAGGTACACGAGCTACTGTTACAGAAGTGGGGGGTGGTGGGTAGACAGTCTAGATGATCTGATTGGTCATTTTAAATCTTGCTTACATGAAGTGTCAGAAACAGAAGGGTGGGGATAGGTAATATATCTATTTAACAGGCCATTGACAGAAGGCAGAGACTCCCACACACCCACAAAATGTTCAGCTCAATGGGCAATGGTGACAAGCATTCAAACTAGCTTAACAGAGACAAGAGAAATAAGACAACTCAGCCCAGTGAGCAGTTAGCAACCAGTGACTGGTAACCCATCACCAGTGACAGTGGCAAATGGGAGACAGCAGTGGCAAGTGGCCTCAGAGGCAAGGTGAGGACAACTGGGTTTGCTGTCTCAGACCCAGAGATTCCCGTTTCATGGACTGCTACAGCCATTGGAGACATACGTACAAAAGTGGTAAAGAACTGTAATATTTAAAGTATCTGGTGATTGTGGTGACCGTCTTACATACTGATCCCAAGGACTCTGGAGTTATCAGGGCCCACTGTTTCACTATGAATGAAAAGAGTCAGGGTGAAGCGGGAAGTGGGTCCACAAATTCTGTAGATAGGAGTTGGAAATATGCTCAAAACAGACTGCATGCCTTGCATGTGTGAGGTATCACCAAAACAAAAAAAATTGTATCTTTGATTTTTGCCACAGGTCATTCCTAGTGGACTAGATATATTCATCGTCCCTGGGCTGCCACCTTTGCCAGTCTCGAACCATCCACATTGCATGGCAGGTCTCTGTGGAGTGCAAGGCCACTGCCTCTGCAGGGTTGTACTCATATGGCAGGGCCTCACCTCGGGATAAAGCCGGCATTGCCAGTCTGAGATATGGGCCGGACACAGGTCGATTTCTGTCTAGGAAGCCTGATGTTTACATTCCTCACGGTCTCTCACTCAGCAGGGCAACCCATTCTACTTTAACCGGTCACTGCTCAAGTCTGTTATTCTCGTCAACTGAATAGAATTTTAAAAAGGCCAAGTGTATTTTGTTTTGGGGCCATAGCCAATGGTGCTCAGGGGCTACTCCTAGTACTCCTAGCTCTGAAATATATTTTCAATCATAATCTTATAGAATTCAATTTTGGTAATTATTTGTTCTGAGTAACATTTGCCATGAAATGTAGCCGGGGAGGGAGGGGACTATAAAACTCCCTACTTAATTTTAGCATAAAACTTGGCACAGGGTAGGCCCAAAATATTCAATAAATATTTTTCCTCACAAAAGTCATTAATTCTGACCAGTTATATAAATCACAGAAAGTTAAATTGCAAAAATTAAAAGAATAATATCCTTATGGTCACACTAGGTTAAAACTTTTGAGAGCCTACAATTCCTGAAGAACTTAGTGGTAATTAGATTGTAATTTGAATAGCTATTTTATGTCTATGTCAAATATTTAAGAGTCCCAAGTAATGTCAGCAAGCTGACAAAATAAAAGACAACAATTCCAAAGAATTTCACATTGATATTACACACCTCTGATCAGTTTGTCCTCAGATATACATTTAAAAAAACCACACAGACTCAACCTAAAACGATGATTTATTTTTCAGGTTAAAAAGCTTCAAAATACGTATGTACAGGTCAAATAAAAAAATAATATTCAAAATCAAAGTAGAGCAGAATATATAATAAAGATGCTTTCTAAGACACAAAAATTATGGCATCAAAGAAAAACATTCAAGAAAGGTAGGCAAATTAGACCACCTGGGGCTTGCCTGGTATACTACTGACCCAGGTTCAATCCCTGGCACTGCATTCAATCCCTTGGTTCAATTCTTCTGAGCACCGCCACAAGTGATCCCTGAGCAGAGCCAGAAATAAGGTCCGAGTAACGCTGAGCATGAACCAAAAAAAAACAAAAACTAAACCCAAATAAACAACAAAAATAAATAAATAAACTGCCTTGACAAAAGAAAAAAAAATCTATTAACCAAGACCAGTCCTAAACATCAGGGCAAAACTTCTTTTCTGTGCTTCCGAGTTGTGTGGCTTTCCTTTTTGGTGCTGAGTTGTGTCCGCTGGAATCACTGGTCTCTGAGAGATTATCGGGCGCCTCTTTCTCATCAACCTGAAAAGGAACAGAGAGCACACAATGCACCGAGACTCACAGATGCCAGGATGGGGAGTCATAAAGCACGCTGTTCTTTCCAAGTACCTTTTTGCCACTCTTGCAAATGATATCACCTCCAAAACATCTTCTCCATGCTTTTGTTTCAATTTTAAAATTTCTTTTCATGAGTAGCATGTGACGAATTTAACTGGCTGTTCTAACTCAGCGAGAGCCAGAATGTGCTAATCTCCATGTTACTGTAATTTGTATTATGTTACATGAGGAAATTCTGTTAACTTAAAGCTGGGAAGTGTTTCCTCACCCTTTTGCCAAGAACGTTCCCTCCCATAAGAAACGTCCGCGCTCCCCTCCCACCTCGTCCCTTCCTGTCTCCTACAAATAGTCCTTCCAAATACAGTTCTCCTCAAATATAGTTCCTACTCGGGGTTAAAAAAGAAATCTTAGGGGGGAAAAAAATCTGAGTCATCTCTCTTATCCCCGTGATCCCCTGGAGAATAAGAAAAAGCAACCAGAGGCTGCTGCCCTCTAATGTCGGCAACAGAAGACAACAGCCAGGAGATCCCAGTTGACTGAGCCACTAGGCTATTCTGCTGGAGCTATTTAGCGTGTTACACGGGAAAAAGAAGGTGTATATAAATTTGACAAGACTAATAAAAATACTCATACACACATAGACAAATGCATATTTAATAAACAACAGGAAAAAAACTAGAGTCCTATAAACATACCTTCTGTCTTGCATGCTTCTCTGTCCACTCCCTGGCATTCTTGAGGAAGACTGGTTTATTATATTTAAATTCTGCAGACTAGATAAAAATCAATGAGTCAGTGGGAGAGAAAAACTGTTAAGAGTAAGCTCCAGCTCCAAGAGCTATCTTCACAGTTGGGGAGTCAGAGTTACAGAGAAAGCAGAACTTGTGTTGCTGGGGAAATAAGACGACTTACTATATCAGCCATGAGAGGGTCATCAGGGTTGGGTTCTGACATGAGCAGCTGGATAGAAGTCAACAGAGTTGAAATGTTGAGGGATGGTCTCCAGGCACCCTACACACAGGCAGAGAAGAAGAATGTGATATGTAATGAATGTTTTAGGCAGGAGCGAAAAGAACAGCAGGGAGGGTGTTTGCCCTGCATGCCGCCGACCCAGGTTCAATCCCAGGCATCCTATATGGTCCCCTGAGCCCACCAGGAATGATAAACGAGTGCAGAGCCAGGAGAAAGTCCTGAGCACCACTGACTGTGATCCAAACGACAAACAAAGAATGTAATGTCTTATAGATGAGGACTTGGCATAGTTACTCCTTAACCCATGACTCACTTTTGGCGGCAACTTGAGAACATCTAGACAAATCCTTCCAGCAGAATCAATATTTGGATGGTAGATTGGAGTCAGAAATCGGATCTGAGGTGGTTCAAATGGATACCTTTGAAAGCACAGAACAATAAAGAATTTTTATTATATATTGCATAACAGATTGTGAGCAGCCTCCTAGTGTCTAGTGGGAAAGAAAGAAAGCCTTTGGGAAACAAACTTCCTGTTAATCCCAATTTTCATTATGAAAATTTATAAACAATAGAAACATTCAAATTACACACTCATATGCCCACCATCTAATAGGTGAAGTCACTTTATCCTCTAAATGTCAGCATAGCTCCTGAGAACACGGTCAGTTTCCTGTTAACTGCAGTATTATCAGAATACCTATATAAAAAAAAAAACTTTAATGACTCCCCAGTATCATCTGCGACTCAGATTTCCTCAACTGTTCCATGTTTTTGTGTAGATGGGTTTTTCAAACCAGTCTCCAACAGATTTATACATTACTGTTGGTTATCAGATCTCTTGACTGAGACACGAGCCCTGGAAAATATCCAGTGTATTTAGAGAACTGGTCCACTACTACGTTTCTCAAGAATTAGACAGCTTGAACAAGTCAATTATTAGATACTCATTTCTTCCCTTGCCCATTCTGCACAAAACTACAAGTATAACTCCTTTGATGCGAGCTTCAACGAAGCTGAGAATTTAGAGGGGCCATCACAGAGATAGACAGGAGAATCATAGTGGCCCAAGTACTGGAGGAAGGAAGACTGAGTTATAGCGTAATGGGTATGGGGTTTCAGTTTGGGAAGATGAAAAATTCTGGGGATGATGGTGACAAATGTACAACCGTGTGAGTATATTTACTGTCACTGAACCATACACATAGAAATTGTCAATTTGGGACTGGGAAGATCACTTAAAGGGCTAGAGCATGACTTGCATGTGTGTTGGACGCCCTGAGCACTACATTGTAAGTACTGCTCAAACACCTCCAAAAAGGGGCATTAGGTATGATTCAACTAAATTTTTAGAGAAAAAAACTGAACTTCAGAGAAAGAAAATAATTTGCCCCAAACCACATTAAATCATATTAAGACTAGAATTAAAACCCAGACCCAGGGCTGGAGCGATAGCACAGTGGATAGGTTGCCTTGCATGCGGCCAACCCAGGTTCAATTCCCAGCATCCCATATGGTCCCCTGAGCACCGCCAGGAGTAATTCCTGAGTGCAGAGCCAGGAGTAACCCCTGAGCATCGCTGGGTGTGATCCAAAAAAAAAAAAAACCCAGACCCATATTTAATTCTCTACTACATTATTGTCTTCCAACAACTGCTTTATCCTATAGCTTAAAATCTAATTCATACTAACCTCTCAGGAACGTTGACTTCCAACTTGAAAACACCTTTTTCATAAGGTGTATTGATCCCACCTATTATTTCTTAAAAGAAAAATGAGAAAAATTAAAAGGGAACTGAATTATTTAAATTATCATGCTATATGTATCCAAGGAGGTCTATGGACTTAACAGAGAAGCTGTGACTAAAGCTAAGAATTCTCTCAGGGTTTTAATAAGTCCTTATGCAATGTTGCAATATACCCCAAAAACTGATGGAGTAACATCAAGAACTGAAGCTGGAAAATTCTGGCCATAGATCAAATAAAACCAGCAGATTCTTTGTTTGAACTGCAGTGTTCCAATGTTCTAATGTCTGGTCTCAGATACTTGACAAGGTAATCTTTGGTTTAATAACTACTTCAGAGCTTGGGCCAAAGTGACAGTACGACATTTACTTGTATGCAGCAGACCCAGTTCAATTCCTGGCATTCCATAGTTTCCCAAGCACCGCCAGGATTAATTCCTGAGCTCAGAGCCTGAAGTAACCCGAGCGTCACCAGGTGTAGCCCAAATACAAACAAAAATACCCCACTCTTTCAGAGCTAATACCCAAATCTTTTTTGTTTTGTTTTGTTTTGTTGATACCCAGCTATGTTCATGGGTTACCCCTGGCTCTGCACTCAGGAATTACTACTGATGGCGCTTGGGGGACCATATGCAATGCTAGAGATTAAGCCCAGGTCAGTTGCATGCCAAGCAGGTGCCCTACCTGCTATACTATCTCTCTAGCCCCTAATAACCCAAATCTTGATTATAAATCCACACAAGTATAACGGAAGGTCAAAGAAAGGAAGTTAAGAAATCTTTATAAATCGCAACAAGTTTGGGTAATAAGGAAATGCTCCTAATTGAGCACAACTGGAGCGCTTAAAAATGCTCAAGTTCCAACACAACCACAAATAGGGTCAAAGCTCACTATAAACATAATGTGACACCTACGAGCTTGCAGATCATTCATCTGGTCCTTATTCTGCCAGCATGTGATGCCTGGGGGCGGCTCTGTGGCTAACAGGTTCAGCTCTCTCTTCAAACGCGATGCTCTCTGCATGATTCCCAAGCGAAAAAAAACCACACACAGTTCACAAGAAAAGCCGGTGGGATGCTCTAGGGAGAAAAGGGACAACCGTTAAATAGCGACAGTGACTTGAGTTTCAGCAGATGGCTTCAATTCAGTGAAGAACAAATGGATTCCCTGTATTAATTCATAGTAACAAGAGTCCAGGGGGTTTTCCATTTCCTTCTTTATCTAATCAAGCAAATAAAATGTTTAAAGTGTAAAAAATTCAGAAAGGTCTCTGAGCAACAGAAAACGCACCATGCTTTAAATTAATTCTGTTTCCACTGACAAATTATGAAGTCATAAGGCACAATCTGGGTTTAATTTTGCTCTCCATACCATGCTTGGCCTGCCAGACATGGAGAAGGGATTGACAAATTTCAGCTGTGGGAGGAAGTGTACAGATGCTTCTCGAGGAAAGCCATGAGTGAGAGACACTGTCAGTACTGAGATACTTACAAGCTAGGGCTTAAAGGTTTGAAGTTTTCTCCACGCATGGATTTCACATTTCAATTTTTTCAGATCAATTATTAAAACTCTCACCAGTATTTTCCCATTTTTTCTTCTTCCCATCAACATAAAAATTTACTCAAAAACCTCTCATTTATTTATTGATTTTGGGGCCACCTCCAGTAGGGCTCAGGGATTACTCCTTGCTCTGTGCTCAGGGATCATTTCTTGCAGGACTCAGAGGACAACATAGAGTGCTGGGAATCAAACCCGCAGGTAGGCATGCAATGCAAGCCCCTTAGCCACTGTATTATCCCTCTGACCTAAAACTTTTTAATTTTTAAAAATATTTGCATTCATATAGGGATTACACCCTGTGGTGCCAGGGTGGGGTAAATGCACAGCTGGAATTTGGTTCTCATTTTAGGGCCTGGCTCCGAAATGCAGTGCTTAGGGTACTTGGCATGAGGTTGGGGGTGGCCAGTCACCCTGGGGAGTGCAGAGGACAATACAGTCCCACAATTGGACTCAGGGTTCCACAGGGCTAAGCGTGTTCTTTACCTCTTCAGCTATCTTCTTGGTCAAACTTAAAAGGTTTTTGAAACATATTCTAAAATATTTTACAAAAAATTTGATTTTTACATTTAAGTCCTTTACATACTGAAAATTTTGATTTTTATATGTACTGTTTAAGTAGGACTTCAATTTTGAAAGTTCTCCTGTAGCAATTCACCCAGTACCACTAACTGAAAAATCCATTTTTTGTTTGCTATTGCCTTTACTTAAATTTTCCAATATATGTGGAGCTGTTTTGGGATTCTGTTCCATAGACTTATCCCTAAGTCAATACCCCACTGTTTTAATTGCTGTAGCTTATTAATAACACACAATAAATGGTGAATTCCTTCACTCTTACTTTTTTTCTTTAATAATGTCTTAGTTGGGCTGGAGCGATAGCACAGAGGGTAGGGCGTCTGCCTTGCACACAGCCAACATGGCCGACCCGAGTTCGATTCTTCCGCCCCTCTCGGAGAGCCCGGCAAGCTACCAAGAGTATCTCGCCCTCACGGAAGAGCCTGGCAAGGTACCCATGATGTATTCGATATGCCAAACACAGTAACAACAAAGTCTCCAGTGGAGACGTTACTGGGCCTGCTCTAGCAAATTGATGAACAACAGGAGGACTGTGACTGTGACTGTGACAGACTAACAATGAACCATTGTATCATAAAAGAAATCTAACTTAATGTTGGGCTGGAGCGATAGCACAGTGGTAGGGCGTTTGCCTTGCATGCAACCAACATGGCCGACCCGAGTTCGATTCCTCCGCCCCTCTCGGAGAGCCCGGCAAGCTACCGAGAGTATTTCACCCGCATGGCAGAGCCTGGCAAGCTCCTCGTGACGTGTTCGATATGCCAAACACAGTAACAATTGTCACAATGGAGACATTACTGGGCCCGCTTGAGCAAATCGATGAACAACAGGAGGACAGTGACAGTGAACGTCTTAGTTGAGGCTGGAGCAATAGTATAGCGGGTAAGGCACTCGCCTTGCACATGGCCAACCTGGGTTCAATCCTCAGCACCCCATATAGTCCCAAGAAGCACAAAGCCAGGAGTGAGCCCTGAGTACTGTTGGATGTGCCTTCTACACACACCACACACACAAACAAATGTCATGGCTATTGTATGTCCTTTACTATTCAATCTATACACAGAGAAACTAAGTGAGATTATAACTGCATTGATTCTATAGGTAAATCTGGGGATAAATAACATCTTTATCTATGGGGAAAAAAAATAAAAAATTGGATCAGAGGGAGAGTCTGGTGGGGAGGGCATTTGCCTTGCATGTGGCTGAGCCGGGTTTGATCCCCAGCATCCCTTATGGTCCCCCCCGCCCCGAGCACCACCAGAAGTAATTCTTGAGGGCAGAGCCAGCGGTAACACCTGAGTATCACCAATGATGCCCAAAGCTAATAATAATTTAGTTACTATGATCCTAGCTCTTTTTTAAATTTTTCAATAGCTTCCAATTTTCTCTACAAAGACCTTATCTTACTTTTGTTAAGTTTATTCCTAGGCATTTTGGTTTTTCTTACATTTTCTATTTTTTCCTATTGCTGTATAAAATATAATTGTTTTTTATTTTTTAGGTAGCACCAGTGGTACTTAGGTCTCATGCCTGGTTCTATGCTTAGGAATCCTTTCTGATGTTCTCTGGGGAGATCAGAGATTGAACTGGGGTCAGAGCACAAGCTTGTCAGCCCCTGTATGCCATTCTTTATTCTCTTATTTTTCCATCTTTCTAGATGTACTTCTTAAATATATTTGAATTTTTACAATCTCACCTCCAAATCTTTATCTTTGAACTGGCATATTTGCATTTATCAATATATCAGTTATCTATTGCCCAAAAGTTAGCTTAAAAAAAAAAACATTTATTTTGTGGGTCATTAACTGGAGTTGGGTTCAACCAGAGTGCCCTGCTGTGGACCTGGCTGAGGTCACTGATACGGCTGCAGTCATCTGGAGGCATTACTGGCAGTACCTGGCACACATTAGGGTGCCTTATCCCTCCTCTCTTTAATGGGGAGACTGGCAGAAATCACACTTCAAAGGGTCATACTGAGTTGGGAGAAAATATGGCCATCTTTGCAACTAATCTTTCTTAAACATCATAAATTACATATTTAGTTGTATTCCTGAATTATTTTATATTTTCCATCTAATACTATTTTTCCTTAGTGTTTATTTTAAATTATTTTCTCATTTAATTTTCCTCCCTTACTAATCTGAAAGTTACAAATCATATTTATAATTACCTTAAGAAAGTACCATATAGGAGCTAGGGGGTTGACACAGATGATTAAAGCTTTGCATGCAGGAACCCTGGGTTTAATTCTCTGCATGGCATGACCCCCTAAACAAAGCCAGCAGTGACCTGTCCTCAGTACCTATTTGCTACCTGTATCTTCACCTTTCCCAACAGTATAGAGGTTTGTGATTTAACTAACCATGACTCTCACACTTTTGACTCATAAGGCTTTGTATTTTTATTGTATTTCTTTAAACCTAACAAGGCATTGTTATTAAAAGCATAAGAATATTTGGGTGGGTGAGGATGTAGCTCAGTGATAGAGTGTATTTTTTTTTTCAATCGTTTTTTGTTTGGGGGCAACACCCAGTGATGCTTAGGGGTTATTCTTACTTAGCTCTGTATTCAAGAATCACTCCTGGTGGGCTCTGGGGACCATATGAGAAGCCAGGGATTGAACCTGGGCAAGTCATATACAAAGTCAAGTACTCAACCCGCAGCACTATTGCTCTGGCCCCTATAATGTATGTTTTCGAGATATGAAGTCCTGAGTTTGATCCCAAGCTAAGACACACAAAAAATGTAAAATTTACCAAATATAAAAAATTGGTAGGAGGGGGGAAGGAGGGGGCAGGCTTCCAGGTGGTTCTCAGGAGTTTCCAGCCCTCCACCAGAGATCTTGGCTAACCATGCTGGTGGTTCAGCGGAAGGTCCGAGGATGCTGCTGTTTGGCAATGTAGACACAGGGGGTTCAGATAAAAAGCAGAATACAAACAAAGAAACCCGTACCTAAGCATGTCAAATCAAAACTGTTAAAAAAAAATAAAGAAAATCATGAAGCAGCTAAAGGAAGGAAAAAAATTACTTGAGGGCCAGGGAGAGAGTTTAAAGGGGAAGCATATGGTGACTGATTATCAGCTGGAAGCAGCCTCTGGGCACCAAAGGATATGGCCCCCCAAAATAAAAGAGGGCGATACGTGTAGAAAGGTAGCTCATGGGCTAAGATATATGCTCTGCATGTGGGAGGCCTGAATTCAATCCCTGGCACCATTTGGGTCCCAGAGCACCGCCTGGAACAACACCCCCCCCCCCACCACTACCACTTGGGAGCAGCCTGAGCAGAATCAGTGTGGCTCAAAAACAAAAAACCCCTCTGGTTTCTGAGTCTTTAAGCTAAAAAGGCCCGGCAACTACCAATGAGTTTAATGCACAACATTCAGCTGGGGCTCAGAACCGTAACATGGATGGGATTATCAAAGATTCCTCATACCTTTGGCCATCCTAAGCAAGGTGGAAGATTTTAAATGTTAAATATCCAAAATTGGGGGGCCGGGGGCAGCACAGTAGCTAGGGCACAAGCCTAGCATGTACCCAACCCAGGTTCCTTGGCAACACATCAGGTACAGAGCATCCTCGGCCCTTCCGCCGAACTACAAGCACTGTTTGATTAAGAATCCCTCCTGCAGGGATGGGTATGTGATCATTGTATAATTGAAATCCAAGCACAAAAATTTGTAAGTCTACAACTGCACCTCATGATGCTTCACTAATAAAAATTAAAAAACAAAAATAAAGAATCTCTGGTGGAGGGGCCAAAACGTTCAGAGACACACTAGGGAGTCGCCCCCTCCTTCCCCCTCTCCTATGCCAAAAAAAAAAAAAAAAGTTTTGGCTATGAGAGTTTCTGCTGGCTTTTTCTACAAGTCAAATAGTATATTACTTTA